GTTCTTTTGTGCGATGGGGAGACCTAATTACTTTAAAAAGCAATAAAAAACTGTCATAAATGAAGCATTGGGCTTCATTTGGGACGGCTTTTTTATTGCTTTCTAAAAGTGAGTTTTAATACAAAATTTTTTATTTTTTTATTAAAACTCCGTTTTAAAAAACAATAAAAAAGCCTTCCCAAACAAAACCTTAATTTCATTTGCCACCACAATAGCAAAAAAAAAAAAAAACTCTTACAACACATTAGTATTTTCTCTGATAACAAAAAAAATATATCCATTGTACTATGGAGAACTGTAACAAGTGGAATTTTTTTTTTAATGGCCTAAAAATTTATTCCCTATTCATCTTTTTTGTTTATGCCGAGGAAAACAAAAAAAAAAACACTCTCCAAATAGAGATCTCTAGCACAGTAACAAACACAATTCTCCTTGGCCTATTGGTTGAGAGCTTAGGCTTCCAACTAAGAGGTCCAAAATTCGAGTCTATGTATATGCGTTGTGTGTGTGAGATTGCCTAAATGGCCTAAATGTACTTAAATGTACCGAAAAAAAAAAAGCCACAGTAACACGTTACAAATAACTTGAAATCGAGTCCATTATGAACAATTCTTCCAACAACATCTGGGCATAGCTCGATCTGCCCAATCTAACATTTTATTAAAGCCCCAAATCTTATAGAGGACAATATGACAAGCGCCACTGGAATATTAACAAACAGCTTTCATAAAAGCCTCGATGATCATATTTTTCTTGTTTTTTTTTTTTTTTTTGAGAGAAAGTTAAGACATTGCCCCCAATTTCCATTAAAAACTAGTTTACATGCTGCCAAAAAGAAAAACGGTATAAAGAACAAAAGGAGGGGGAAAAAAAAACCACTAGCGACCAAAATTAAGATAGCCACCTTTCCACGCCAAAATACACATGCACAAAAACATGAATAACATAAAAACAAAGAGCTGTACAGAGAAAACAATGGCGCTCCCATGATACAATCAGATTGCAGTCGCTGGAAAAACACATCACCCGATTGTGAGGCATTGCCAATCAAGAGGAAAACGGCGTTGCCAAGAGACCGCCATCCAAGAGGTTAGCAAATGCAATCTAACATCATTACCCCCAAAATTGCCCAAACCAACCAGAGGCCTGCAGAATAAAAAAAGGCCCCAGGAAGAGAACCAGAAGAACCGATAGTTATCACAGAGCTGCAGGAAGAACCCAGTCCACCATTAAACCAGTGGAAACAACATCCAGAACCAAGGAAATAGTCCGGAATAACTAAACAAATTAAGCCTATAAGAGATCCAACAGTAATACCCATCTTTCCATTGTAGGACATTTTTGAAAAAAAGATTTTTTTTTTGATCTTTAAAACAAGGATCTGTAAGTGCTAGGCCTAAGAGGGCAGACTAGCAAATCTCCGTCAGTTCCTTTCCCCTCCACACATTAATAAATAGTTCAGCCAATGATTGAGATAATAAAACCTTTTTGATCGTAAGGGAGTAGTAGGGCAAGGCAGTTCTCAACCCAATCAAAAAAGCTGTAAAACAATTTCGGCCTAAGCCAGAAATCTAAGACATGTTGCCAGGTACAAAAAGGTGATGCGATAGACTATATATGTGAGGAGCAGTCAAAAAAAAAGATACATGGACATAACTTCTCATTATAGGGAGGTGACACAAAAACATGCGGAAAAATTTCTCACCAAAATGTTGCCGCCTATTGAGCTCCCATAGCAGTTTTAAGCCCTCCCAAAGAGCCAGTCCAGCTGAAAACCGAGTATCTCACAAACATGCCCCTTATGCCAAACAAATTTAGACCAATTACAAGCAGTTAGGGTTTATAAAACACCATCAGAAATCCCTAAATTTAGCATTTTTCATGCAATGAACAATTTTAAAAAAAAACACGAAAAAAAAAAAAAAAAAAAAAAAAAAAAGATTCGATCACCAATGAGCTCACCAAAGTCCAAGTCACTCGGAGCAATAACAAAGCCGGCACATTCTGAGAATAAAAAGCTGTAAATCTTGGCGCTACAATCCCAATGCTATTTTAACTTTGATGTAAATTTTGATTGTAGGAAACATTGAAGAATAAAGTTTCTATGGATAACCTATAAGATATGCATTACAAGCCTCATATAATAAATGGCCGTATCACAAGTGCGTTATCTTGCCTTGAGATTCGTTGAAGTAGCAGGACAGCCTTCCAGAGGTGACAAGCTTGCCGGCTTGTTCTTTCAGTGTCTCTGCATTAAAATAACGAATGAAATAAAAACATTTTCGAAAAGAATACAAGGGGTATATGGCTAGCTTAAATGGATATATAATACAGACGTAGAATTAAAGCAAAGAAAAAATGAAAAAAAAAAAAAAATTCCAATTTTCCTGTGAAGCTAACAACTCCATAGAGAAGGGTAATAGAAGTGAAGTACTTTTGGCTCATTTGTTAAGAAGATTATTGCTCCAGTCATGAAATCTAGCTTATAAACTTCACAATTTATCATCAATCATTCTGAAAAAAAACATAATAGAATACATTTTTTAATGTTCGGTAAAAATTGCAGTTATTTTAAGAGTGAAGTACGGTAATGCCGGTTCAAGTAAACATAAAAATATATGAGAATGTAGTAGTTGTTACCCCTTAAACCTAAAAAGGTTATCAGGCTATTCACTATGATGCACAACACGGTCACGGCGACACAGATACGACACGACAACGGACACGGGACACGTTAGTTATTTTTGAAAATTATAAGAACAGCGACACGAGTTAGTACACGGTATTATAGTTTTATATTTAAAAAAGTGCTATAAAAATTAAATAAGTATAATTTTAAAAATAACTTGAAAATAATAAGTCATTAAATAATTAATTTGTGCTTGAAATGAATTAGTTATAGGATGTCGAGAGTCGGGCGCGATGACCGTTTAATCAGTCACTGAGAGAGGAGATGAAAAATACCTTCACTGTAATCTCCA